GGAGTACAGGGTGCCTCGGGCACGGTGGCGGGGTAGGATTGAAGCCAGTGGATACGTGCAATGTGCAAGAATCCTCAACATGTAGCGCGGTCGGTCCCAATGATGATGCTGGGTGTCGTACTTATGACGACATGGTTTGTGTGTAACGCACGGGACAAAAAAACAGGAACTCCACAATTTCCCCCGTGCCTTTTAGCGGAGCCAGGAAAGCGCTGCTCTGCGAGGAACCTCAACTGACGTCAAGCCTATAGTAGCATGTGCGCTCACAGCACCAACTGCGCTGGTCCACAACGGTTGACCTCTCGAAGGGGAGGGCCAGGGGAGGGCCAGGCCTCCAACAGCGTACCGTCAACAGCATAATGTCATAAAACAGCGTATGGTCAACAACGTAGCGTCAACAGTGTAGTGTCAACAACGTGGTGCCAACAGCGTAGTGACAACAGCGTAGTGTCAACAACGTAGTGTCAACAACGCAGTGCCAACAGCGCAGCGTCAACAACGTAGTGTCAACAGCGCAAGGTCAACAGCGTAGTGTCAGGAACGTAGTGTCAACAGCGTACTGTCAACCAACAACGTAATGTCAACAGCCAGCTCAAACTCATTCTGGGCGGTTCTGGGCGCGACGAGCAGCTCGCAGCGCACTGTCAAAAGGAAGTTGTCAATAACGTAGGGCCAATAGCGCCGTGTCAACACCGCATTTTCAACAGCGTGCTGTCAACAAACAGTGAAAGCAAAGACGTCAACGGCGCAATGTCAAAGCCTCGCCGGAAGCGTGCAAGGAGCGTACAGCGTCTGTGAATGCCAACAGCGTAGTGTCAACAGCGTAGTGTCAAAGGTAGCAGCGTGCGAGCAGCGTCTCCTCTTATTGCCAACAACGTAAAGTGAGCAGCGCCGTGTCAAAGGTAGGAGCATGCAAGAAGCGTACAGAGTCTCTCGCCACTGCCAACAGCGTAATGTCAGCAGCGCCACGCAATGTCAGAGGTACGAGCGGGTACGAATAGCGTTCAGCGTCTCCTCTTAATGCCAACGGCGCATCTAAATGCCAACAGCGTAATGTCAACAGCGCCGCGCAATGTCAGAGGTACGAGCGGGTACACATAGCGTTCAGCGTCTCTTCTTCATGCCAACAGCGCCTCTTAATGCCAACAACGTCATGTCAACAGCGAAGTGTCGGATATTCAGGAGCGCAGAGCCTCTCCTCTTGATGCCAACAGCGCCTCCTAATGCCAACAACGCAATCTCAGCAGCGCAGTGTCAAATCTTCAGGAGCGCAGAGCCTCTCCTCGTAATGCCAACACGGCCTTTTTTGATGACAGCGACGTAGTGTCAACAGCCCACTGTCAACAGCGCAGCGTCAGAGATTAGCAGCGCAAATCAAATGATATCCTCGTAATGCCAACAGCGCTTCTGAATGCCAACGACGTAGTGTTGACAGCGCAGTGCCACATATTAGAAGCGTACAGCCTCTCCTCTTAATGCCAACAACGTAGTGTCAACAGCGTAGTGTTAATTCACTCGGCGATACGTAGTGTCAACAGCGTAGTGTTAATTCACGGTTACAGGAGAGAGCGTGATCCACCGCCGCTTTACTGTGGAAAATTCCCCCCCCCCTCTTCCTCCGGAACCCGGGGGTCCCCCCCCCCGAAGCCGGGGTTCCCCCCCCCCTTCCGACCCCCCCCCCCCGCTGGACCCACCCCCCTCCCCCAGCAAAACCCCCCCCCTCCCCCTCGAAAACTGGAGGGGGGGGTCACTATCGGTTCGAACCCCCTCCCCACCCCCCCTCACCGCCAGCAAACGACTCCCGGTCCCTACCACCGTCCGCACCACATCCCCCATTGTTGTTCCCAGCACCACTGTCCTCACCACCACTGTCCCCACTGGTTCCACCACCGTCCCTACTGTCCCCACCAGTGCCCCCACCACTGTCGCACTGTCCCCACTGTCCCCACCACTGTTCCCACAACTGTTCCACTCTCCCCACTTTCTCCACGGCCCCAACCACTGCCCGACTATCCCCACTGTCCCACTGACTCCTCCACTGTCCCACTGAGCTGTCCTACTGTTCCCACCACTGTCCCCACTGTCCCCACCGCTGTCCCCACTGCACCTCTGTCCCATTGTCCCACCGCCGTCCTCGCCACCGCCTTCACCACTGTCCCCACCACCACTGTACCCTCCACTGTCCTTTTGTTTCCACCACATTCCCAATGTCCCCACACCACTGTCCCCACCAATGTCCCCCTGTCCCCACTGTTCCCACCATTGTCCTCACCACTGTCCCCACCACTACCGTCCCCACCACTGTCCCACTGTCCCCACCACCACTGTCCCGCTGTCCCCTTACCACTGTCCCCACCACCACCGTCCCCACCACTGTCCGCACCCCTCCCCGGTTTTCGAAGGGGGGAGGGGGAGGGTTCGAACCGGTAGTGACCCCCGCCGGCGTTCGAGGGGGGGGGGGGGGTCGAACCGCTAGTGAGCCCCCCCCTTTTCATGATGGACTGGGGGGGGGAGGGGTTCGAACCGGTAGTGACCCCCCCGGATTTCCGGAGGGGGAGGGGGGGGGAAGGGGTTCGAACCAGTAGTGACCCCCCCGGTTTTCCGCCATCAGCGGTAGACCAGCTCTTTCTATATTTAAAACAAATTTGAAAGATTCCTCGATATGTAAGAGAAGGGCTCGTTTTGTGAGTTCGATGTCTGTAGATGATAGGAAGGAAGAAAAATACAATGGCGGGAAGGGGATCTGGGGAGAGGGAGAGGGAGGAGAAACAACCCGCCGGTCGCGACCGACATTCGGCGAGACCGAAATCCGTTACCGAGGATTATCGGCGGCCTCCTGACGAGGGGAGGGGGCCAGCGCGGCGCCAGGACCTCTGGCTACGAGCTCGGCTATGAGCAAGGGGTGACTCTAGGCAGGAGTGCCCTTTGGTGCGCGAGCTTCGGGGAGCGCGGGAGGGCCAAGCCCGAGCGAGCAAACCGCTGGGGACCCCAGTGTGCCCGCACCGCAGGTCCCACTCCGGCGAAACCTCACTCCTGCCCAGCCATCCTCCGACAGGATTTGTTTAATCCGCGGCCCCAGGAAAGCCCCGACCCCTGCCGCCCTGGTGATTTTTTTTGCCCCCGATCCATTCTGGATGGTCCCCTGGCTGGATCACGGATCCCAGAGGCCAAAATCGATGACAGACCGCGGGGCCCACGCCAGTCCTCCTCCAGTCCTCCTCCCCAGGGGGGGGGGCCCCAGGGGGGAGTCCTTTCCGTCTCCGCCTCCTCCTCCTCCTCCTCCGCCTCCTCCTCCTCCTCCTCCTCCTCCTCCTCTTCCTCCTCCTCCTCCCCCTCCTGGTCGTCGCCGATGTCTTTCGGGGTCGGCGGCGCCGGCCGTCAGGCCTTCACAATCGATGACAGACCGCGGGATCTTGCCGTCGCTCGGACGTCCATTTCCCGTGCATTTTTCGGTTTCGTGCGTGTTTCGTTGCTCGATGGTCCAGGATGGTCCTCGATGGTTCTCGCCGAGAAAAAATGCAGACGTCCAAGCGATGCCAAGGGATTCAAAAAATCGTGTCCTCGGAGAGCTGGGTAGCCACGTGCAGCCAGCCGGCGAGCGGCGGCCTATCCTCGCGAGGGGTGTTTCGTCCGGGATTTGGGTCGGACGTGTCCTCTTACAAGCAGGTTCTGGGCGAACCAAATTTTCAAGACTCGAAAAGTACACCAAAATAGTCAAACAATAATCAAACTCAAGTCCCCAGACTATTTGTTTAATATTTCTGCATATCCCTCCTGTACCAGGACAGGCTCGACTTAACCCTGGATCCCTTTTGGATGGTCCCTGGGCCACGCAACTGAACAGGCCCCGGAGGCCGAAACCGATGACAGACCGCCAGATTTCAAAAATCCTATTCTCGGAGATCTGGGCACCTGTGGCCGACGCGCGGCGGCCATTCCTGCGAGGGTTTTTGCCCCGGATCCGCTCTAGACGGTTCCCGGGCCCGACATCGACGGCAAACCGCCAGATTGCAACAAGCGTGCCCCCGGCCGACGAGCGGCGCGCCTCTTTGCGAGGGTGGGGGCCAGGCAGACCTCCGACGTAATGACTTCTTCATGACGTCGACCCCCAGAGGAACCGGTTTTCCATGACTTCTTCATGACCCATTCCCTATGGGACGGGTTTTTCATCCTGAGTCTTTTTGTTGACGGTCCCGAGGCCCGCTAGGGGCCCCGGGAGCACAGGAGGCCAAAAACAGCGAAAAACCTCACGTCTTGTTTTTGTTACAGCGCTCTGGATGCCCAAAGCGGGTACAGAGAAAATGGGTCCAATGCCCAACAACAAAGGTTGTCCAAAACAGGCAGCGGTCACTTCTGGGCGGGCGGCCCCTTGTCTTCGATGAGCAACGTCCGCGGCGGCGCGGACAGAGAGTCCTGCTGAAAATGCACAGGAACTGCTGCTGGGCATCCTACCCCGAGGGGGGAGGAGGAGGAGGAGGAGGAGGAGGAGGAGGAGGAGGAGGAGGAGGAGGAGGAGGAGGAGGAGGAGGAGGAGGAGGAGAGGAGGGAGGAGGAGGAGGGAGGAGGAGGAGGAGGGAGGAGGAGGAGGGTAAGAGGAGGAGGAGGAGGAGGAGGAGGAGGAGGAGGAGGAGGAGGAGGAGGAGGAGGAAGGAGAAGGGAGGAGGAGGAGGGTAAAGGAGGAGAGGAGGAGGAGGAGAGGAGGAGGAGGAGGAGAAGGGAGGAGGAGGAGGGGAGAAGGAGGAGGAGGAGGAGGAGGAGGAGGAGGAGGAGGAGGGAGGAGGAGGAGGAGAAGGAGGAGGAGAGGAGGAGAGGAGGGAGGAGGAGGAGGAGGAGGGAGGGGAGGAGGAGGAGGGTGAGCCGGCGCCCGGCGGCAGGCCTGCACCGAGCCCTGCCGCCGCTGCTCCGTACCCATTTCGATCGCCCCGGCACGCGGGGGGGCCGGGCTGCAAGAGGGGGGGGGGGGGCGGGGCCCGGCGGCGCGCGCGGGGCGGGGGCCGCGCCCTGGCCGAGCAGCTCGTAGGCGAGCTCCCGCGGAGGCTGCGGCGGCGGCCCGTGCGCGGAGGCCCGCAGCCAGAAGCGCGCGGCGGGCTCCAGCAGGTGCTGCCAGGCCTGCGCTCCGGGGGCCGCGGGGCGCCCTCGAGCGAGCCCTCCTCGATCTCGACCGAGGGCCGACCGCCCTCGGCCCAGCCTCGCTCGACCGGTCCGCCATCGACCGAGCGAGGACCGATCGGGATGCCGAGCGAGGACCGATCGAGAACATGATTTCTTCAATCCGGCGGGGTTTCATCCATGATTTCGGGTCCAGGGGCCATCCAGAACGGATCCGGGACGCAAGCACACCCCCCGGGCGGGGGGGGCGGCACCTTCCTGGGGCCGCGGCTTGGAAAAAGCATGTCGGAGGGCGTCTGGGATCGAAGTCCTCAGTGGGTCGATCGGTCCGTCCTCGGCCGAGCATCGATCGACCAGTCCGCCATCGACCGGTCCTCGGCCGAGCGTCCGAGGATCGATCGATCGAGATCCTCGGTTTGCCGGCGCGCCCAAGAGGGGAAGGCAGAGGGGGGGGGCCTGTTCAGAAGGCTCAGGAGGCCTCCGGCCCTCTGAGGCGCTTTCGACGGCTTCTCCGAGCAGGGGCCAGCGCGCACCAGGGATGCGCATGTCTGCTCGTGCACCCTCGAGGGGAGGGGGAAGGGGAGGGAGGGAAGAAGGGTGGGGGGGGAGGGGGGGAAGGGACGACGGAGTGGGAGAAGGGGGATGACGAGGAAAGGAATGCAGGAGGAAGAGGAGGACGAGGAGGAAGAGAATAAGGAGGAGGAGGATGAGAAGGAGCATGGGTTCGCTGAGATCCAACAGTGTGTGACAGCGGTTTCGGCTCCAATCGAACGTTCCATGCGGTGGGCCACGGAGCCCAGCCTCCAAGCTTGCCGATACAGAGGATGAGGAGGAGGAGGATGAGGAGGAGGAAGATGATACAGCCTCCTGCTCCCCCTCCTCCCCCTCCTCATCCTCCCCCTCCTTCCTCCATTCCTTGTCCTCATACATAATTTCTCCCTATCACACCCCGAGGCTCAGTTTTAGGGCGGGCTGGGCGTTTCGCCTGAGACTTCCTCACCGCTTATGACCCTGAAGCTTAACAAGTGACAGCTGTTTCACATATTGGGGGCGGGTTGTTTTCAAAATGTCGCTCTCGCCTCAGCGCCGCGCACATTCGTTTTTTTACAAATCGCAAGTGTCTCACGGATTGAGGGCGGGTGGTTTTCAAATGTGGCTCTCGCCTTAGCGCCGCGCACATACGTTTTCTACATGTGCGAGAGTTATATGGATTCAGAGCGGGTCGTTTTCAACATGTGGTTCTCGCCTTGGCGCCGCGAATATTCGTTTTCAAAATTGGCAAGGACTTCACGGATTGAGAGCGCGTCGTTTTCGAAATGTGGCTGTCGCCTTAGCGCCGCGCACATTCGTTTTCAACATTTGCGAGCTTCACGGATTGAAGGCAATTCCTTTCTAAACTGTGGCTTTCGCCTCAGCGCCGCGCACGCTCGTTGTCAGCATTTGCAAGGAGTTTCACGGGTTCCCGTGAACAGGGAAGGATTCAGGATTTTGAAGGCATCACAAGTATGTTGACTCGTGGTGCTGAAATCCCAGAAATGGCGTTCTGGAACGATTCAAGATCGTCAAGACGCAACAGTCAGGTTGTTCCGTGGCATTGGAATCCTGAGAATAATGTTTTGGCATTCTTCAGGATCTTCAAACGGTTGTCTTCCGACGAGGCAGTTCCTTCAATGGACATGAACCGTTGTAGGGGCCTATGAAGAGGGAGCTTGGAGGGAGGGTTTATTCCAACATCGTTGATGACTCTTGGGTTTACACTGGTCCTCCTCCTCCTCCTCCTCCTCCTCCTCCTCCTTCTCCTCCTCCTCCTCCTCCTCCTCCTCCCCCGTCCCCTTTATCGCCCTAGGGGGAGGGGGGGAGGTCTTGCCAATGACCCGTGCCGCAGCACGCAGCTGCGTACGGCCGAGGCCCCACATCCTCTTCCTCCACCTCCTCATTCCTCCTACCCCATCGTCCTCCGCCTCCTCCTCATCCTCCACCACCACCTCTATCTCCACCTACCCTTCCTCGTCACCCATCGTCGTTCCTCGCCTTCCCCCCGCATCGTCCCTCTTCTCCCCCCCCTTCTTCTCCCCTGCTCTTAATGAGGGAGGCGGAAGGGGGCGTCCTGCTCCCTGGGGGAGGAGAGGGAAAAGAGAGAGAGAGAGAGAAGCATACATGTACACATCTATACAGAGAGTTTGAGAGAGAGATGGAGGAGAAAAGGAACCACGACAAAGAGCGAGAGCGAGAGAGACCGAGAGAGACAGCGGAACAAGGAACAAAACAAACAAACGATGACGAAGAGGGAAGGATAATGCTGCTGCCGCCCCCCAGGGCGGGGAATGGGCAAGGGAGAGCGAGGGAGATGCACAGGGAAGTCGGGAGGAGGGAAGGGAGGAGGATAGGGAAGAGGAGGAGCGGGATTGGTACAGTCGACCCGTCCCATAAGGATGCGCGGTGAACGTGCAAGGGCCTGGGAGGGCCAAGTTGGTTGGCGTTTTTCGGACGAGGTTAGCCAGCGAGAGTCGCCAAGGATGGGCCGAATGGGGCAAGGCTGCAAGGGTACCCTTGGGACAGTTGCCCATCCTGCACTTCGACAAACAACGAGCCACAGAAGCACTGACTACCTACCAGACCACCCCAGCCCAACCCGAAGACCCAAATTTCGGGTTGGGGTGTGTGTGTGTGTGTGTGGCTCCACATGTGTTTTTCGATGTTCCCCGCCCATCCCCCACTGGAAATGGAGGGCAAATTGAGGCCTTCGGGTTGGGTTGGGGTGGTTTGGTGGGTGGCGAAGCACAGGCTTGAGGATGCCCGCACGGATGCCTTGGACCCGCGCTGGACCCCCTCGGCGCACCTCGCGCTTCCGGGACGGGGCGCCCGACGCCGATCCAGGAAATCCGCCCGGACCGCCGAAAGCTCCCGTTCACTCGTCTGTTCTTGCGTCGACCCTCCCCGTCCTCACTCTGCTCTTCTGTCCGCGCCCCCCCCTGAGATCCGACGGTGCGAGGCACCAGCAGCAGCACGAACCATCACGGCCGGAACCCTGGACCACCACCATTCTGCGGCATCTTCCGAGCCAGATCGATCCGGGAGGGTCCCCAGGGGCCCGAAGGCGACGCAAACTGGCCCATGTTTTGGAAAGGCTGCGACGCCAGAACCTCTCAGGGTTTGTGCAGAGCTGCTGCTGGCTCTCCTCGCCCTCACCGTGCTCTTCTGCCCGCTCGGGCGCGAATTCGAAGGTGGGGGGAGAGAAAGGTGCCCTTCTCGGACCCCAAAGGCCCACCGGGGGTCTCGAAAGGGCCCCTCTCTGCAGCCCTCGCTACCCCCCCCCCCCCCATTTACCGCACCCCCCTCCTTGCGCGCCGCCCAGCCCGCTCCCCCCAGCCGCCTGCCGGCCCTTGCCGAAGTGGCGCTGCGCCTTCGCCAGGTTCCCATACAGCAGCAGCCTGTGGCCGTGGGGCCCGCCCGCTGCGGCTCGAGAGCGCCCAGGCGGTTGCACAATGACAGAATGGGAATGGAATCTCGAGGATAACTCGAGAAACAGAAAAAAACATAGCGGAAGGTTGTTCCATATGTTCGGTCTCTGGGAACCCTACCTGGCCTTGGCACCGTCAAGAAAACGACTCTTGATGAAACACCGGCCATGGGGAATGGGTCGAGACCTGGGGTGGTCGACGTCATGACAAAACTATGACGTTGGGGGTCCTAGCCCCGTCCTAGTTCCGTCCGACCCTCCCCTCCCTGTGGCGCAGAGCGCAGACTTGTTCATGTGCACCCCGACTTGTTCATGTGCACTTGCACGCTGAGGGAGTGCTTGTCGTGGGACTTGTGTATTCGACCCCCCAAAAACACACACACACACACACACACACACACACACACACACACACACACACACTCTGGGACAGGCGAAAGCGGAGTGGGCAGAGGAGTCAGCATTACTCTCCAACGCGTGCCCCCTGGATCCCGAAACCGAAAATATCAACAGACATGTCCTTGAGCATGTGAGGCCAACGTGCCATGGCTGGTGCATCCTGCATGCAAGAGGTGACCGATAAGGGCAGGCTGCTAAAGCACACGTGAGATTTGCAAAATCAGGTGGGCATGCCTGTCTAGGTCTGTTACAATTACTGCAGGGAGAGAGGTGGAGGCAAAATGCGTTGGCGCTTGCGCGACTGCTCGTGGAAGCAGAAGGCCCCGCACTTGTTGTCCTCCGCACATTTCACCTTTGCTTCCTCGGCGTCCTGGGCGAACATCACGCGCCCTCCGAGCACCATGTCCTTCGCGTGCTCCTCGCTCGGGAGGCTCTAACCCTCTCCTCCCCTCCGCTGTCCCCCATTCTGCACATCGCCTCGCGAACTTCTGCGTGCAACTGCCCTCGCTCGATACTGCCTGCGCCCACTCCTGCCCAGCCCACAACTCCGACACGACCAACCAGCTGCTCGCACCAAACGCCCGAAGCCCCCGTGCCTGCTCGGTCAGCCCGCCGCTCACCATCCCGGATCGTACGGCCCCCCGGCCTGGACCCGGACCAGGGCAGCTGCTGCCCAACTCGCAGGCGGCTCCTGCGGCAGTCCAGGTCCGCGGGCCAGGCCTCGCGCCCGCCGCGGGCTCGCAGAAAGGACTCTCGCTGCGAACTGGAGAGCGTGGATGCGCGCACGCGTGAGGCGTACGGTGTCTGCCCGCGGCGCCGATGCTGCCGCTGCTGGCGGCACCCCGGCGGCACGCGGCGGCGGGGTGGGCGGGAGGAAGGCGACGGACAGCACCGAGGCGAATTACGCCAAGGAAACGAGTAACACAGAGGCGGCGGACGAGCAGAGTTCGTTCCAGACTTGCGCGAGTTCAGACAGGGAGCTGAACTGGAACAGGTCTTGAACTCCACCTCCTCCTCCTCCTCCTCCAATGTGTGTTACCTCGTCGCGAGCCTCCAAGAGGAGGGGATGGGAAAAACGAGAGGTGGAAGGAGGCAGGGAAGGGATAGGCTGCGGACCGAAGGGGGTGTTCAAGATCCACGCCAGTGCAAGCACGGCGCTGAACTGGAGAGGATCGGGCCAGGGTCATGAGCTCAGCCGCCTACCTGCTGCAGTGCTGCGCTGGCATCATGACGGGGTTTGCGGCAGGCGGCAGGGTAGCGTGTCTACTCGACCGTGCCACCAGCTGATGAACTTATATGCGGCTGCTTACAAGTGGGGCACCTGACTTGCACATGCAAGTCAGGCGTGTCCTTCTGCAAATGCTGCCATAACGATCTATTCCTTCCAGATGCGGCAGGCCTACCATCTAGCACCTAGCTGCTGGGTGCTATCGCAAACCAAGAACATCAGCATAACCCGTTGAAGGTCCGCGCGAACTTCTTGGATCGGCGATGGCCCCCCTCCCTGGACCGCGGAGCGCGCGCCAGTGGCGGCGCCGGAGGCACCGCCGGGGGGTCCAGCGCCGATCCGGGGAATCCTCGCGGACTTCCCACAATTCATGCTGACCCCCGATTTTCCCTGTTCCCGTATAGATGCAGCAGCGCGTCGCGCCGAAGCGTGGTGGGCCAGACGAAGCGGCGCGGCACGCTGAGCAAACGCCCTTGACCATATGCTCACGTCACGCGGGCAAGATCTGAAAGGGCTGCTACTCCCCCCGGCCAAGGCTCTTCTGACCAGAATTTCGAGCCGAATGCAGCCGTCATGACGAGGGTCTCTTAGGAAGCCAGACCGCGAAAACGAGGGAAGGGTAGCGGTAGCAGTAATTACCTCATCCTGCCCTGAGCATTGTCCAAAAAACAGTCCTCAAGGGATCCCGACGCCAGAGGGAAGACTGGCGGGGCTCCTTCTGTGGCGGCGACACCGCGGCGGGCATGCGACTGCCCTTCGACTCGGACTTGAGCGGGAGCATCAGCTTCAGGTCCCCCTCCCCGGGCACCCGCACCACGTTCCTGCCGCAGCCGGCGCCGCTGCAAAGGCATGCCTTCTACTGCAGGAGCCAAGGCAGCATCAAACCGTCTGCTCCGAGGCGATCCCCACCCATGAGCGCGAGGCGGAATCGCCACGGAACAGCGGCAAACCTTGGACCCGACGGCCGCGGCGAGGCGGGTCGGGAGCCCCTTTTCCTGAAAACTAGAAGCCCCAACCTGTCGGAGGGGGTGTGTATGGGGTTGAAGTGCAAAGGTACAGAACCCCTGATCCGTTGGTAGAGGAAAGGAGGGAAAGATGGATATCTTTTCCTCCTGCACGATCAAAGGTCTGATCGATCTAATCCAATACCTGAGCCCAAACGGCCAGGCGCAGGAGAGTGAGGATAAGGAATATATATGAGGGTATTATACGGGTTCTATTCACAGGGGGGGGATGCCATGTCGCCTCAGGGAGCCCACCTGCGTGCTACTTCTGAAGAAGGACCACCTTCGAACCAAGACGAAGGAGCAGCAGCACGCCAACCAAGCTCCAAAACGGCGGCGCGTCGCCAATACGGAGGAGGAGGAGGAGGAGGAGGGAGGAGGAGGGAGGAGGAGGAGGAGCGAGGAGGAGGAGGAGGGAGGAGGGAGGAGGAGGAGGAGGAGGCGGAGGAGGAGGAGGAGGAGGGGGGGAGGAGGAGGTTCCCCTCCCGTTTGATCATCCCCGCCGCAACAGGGGAAGACACAGCTGCACATCATGCATCAACTTTCCGAGCTTCGCGCGGACTCCTTAGATCGGCGCTGGGCCTCCCTGGCGGTGCCTCTGGCGTCGCCCCTGACGCACCGAGCGCGCCAGGGAGGGGGGTATATATCACCGAGGCATCTAGTCCGCGTGGAGCTGCGACAGCTCATGCTTACGTAGATCATGTCCTTCTTCAGCGCGAAAGCATACCTTTTATCGCTCCTGCCCCGTGCCCCTGCACTCCTCACCATCTCAACCCCTGCCTTCCCAAACATCCGACTTTGTGATTGTGCGAACAATGCGGTTCCCGTCAATTCTGGACCCATTTCCCGGGACCAGTATCTCATCGGGAGTAGTTTTTACATGGTTCTGGGGCCTGGCTCCTACAGATGTTGGTTAAAAAGTTGGTCCTGGTCGCAACCGATTAGCTTCAAAACCGGTTGAGACCGATCGGTCGCGACCAGATCGGTCGTCCACAGTTGACGCGTGCGTTGGACGGTGCCAATCCACTCTCCACTTACGTTCGTTTGTACAGAAAGTTATCTTAGTCAAGATGCTGGCAGATTAGCGGCAAATAGCGGCAACCGGTTAGCGGCAAATCCCTGCGTAGTCCACGACACAGGCAACGGACTTACGACCCAACTGAGAGGTCGTCCAAGTGCGACGTACTGGTGAGGCAGAACCTGTGGGCACTGGTTGTAAGCCCTCAGCTACCCACACCAAGAAATGCAAACGACCACTCTTTGGAGACGTAACAGTCGCTCGATGACCATGTGTAGCTCGAGGCACTATCCCACACGCGACATGTGCTTGAGAGGACACGAATTCACATCAATTTCATTACCATTCGGAATGTTTCTCGCACTGCTGCCGAACAAAAAACCTGACAAACCCCAGGCCCCTGCAGTAACCGCAGGTCAAAACTGGCGACGCTGGCGGGAAAGTCCTTCGGCAAGGCCCACGCACAAATGGCAGCATGCAGTGTCACAGTCGTCGGCACGGCCATCCCAGCGACGCCCACCACAACAACGTATGGCATTGAGCATGCGACCGAGTTCGCAACACGACCGATGAACCGAGCTGGGAGCTGTGGAGACGAAACATGGAGAGGCGGGGGCAAATCCTCAATATCTTGCTCGAGTTCCACAAGCCGTGGCTCTCACCTGCCGCCCCAGGACCGCCACGCCGCTCTCACCGCGACCAGTCCCTTCAACCCTAACTTCCTTGCGACTGCATGCCTGGAGGAGGAGGAGGAGGAGGAGGAGGAGGAGGAGGAGGAGGAGGAGGAGGGGCTCCAAACATATAAAAAATGGTTCTCGCTCCCACCGCCAGAACGCAGAACACAACCGGTCTGCGCGCCGAGGAGTCACGGATCCTCGCACCATGTGCGTGAAAAGGCCCGCGCTCCCGGCGCCACAGCATGCGCCAACAGCATGGGATCTGCGCTCGCCCACGAATGCTGCCCCAAGATCGGCCCTCCACCCTGGATTACTCCAGATTTCGTAATAAAGGGAGGGGGGTCTCATTTCGGGGGGGGTCTCTTCCAGGCTATCTTGGAGGGCCTGGGGGGTCTGGGGACGATGTTTTGGAGGGTTCTCCCACGGGGGAGGTCTGAAATGGCTTGTCTTGGAGGGTCCAGACCCCCTCCCTTTTATCACGAAATCTGGCGTATCCTTCGACTGTCCCGAGGGCACGACAGCGCCCCAGGATGCCGAAAAACGTGCAGCGCCTCCGGGCACCCTCGGGAACCCTTTGCCTCACGGTGCTGGCGGAAGACTCAGCGGAGACCCGTTTGTCCGTCCTCCTCCCCCCCCCCCCGCTCCCTGAGAGGCGTCGGCAGCCCGACGTCGGGGCGCATCCAGCCGCAGCACCCCCCCCCCCTGCCCCCCCCCCCCCGAAGGAGCCGGGGTGCGATGGCCATGAGGAGGGCCCCGAGGGAGACAAGCCCTGAACCACGAGGCTTCCCCAGGGACCCGCCCTTCCTCCAGAGGAGTTGGGCGGTCCGCGGCCATGTGCAAGGCCCCAGGAGGCCGAAACCGGCGACACATGCCAGGACCTCTGCTCCAACCGTGCTGTCTCCGTGATGCCGGATCCTGTTCCGTGACGCCGGATCTCAGGGGACGCAGGCAGTGTAACTACAGCCTAGATTCATACCCTTGCATTTTCTTGGAGACACACGTCCGCGTCGGCGTCGGCGTCGGCGTCGGCGTCGGCGTCGGCGTCGGCGTCGGAGACGGCGTCGTCGTCGTCGTTGCCCTCGTCGTTGCCCGGGGAGGGGTGGGATTTTGAAGTCGTTGAATAATTTTCCCGTATGGGGGGGAGGGGAAGTGCTGGACCCCTCCGCAATTTTCCCGAGGGGGGGTCCAGAACCCGCCCTCACCCTCTGGTTTGGGGGGGAACCCCAACACCCTGCCAGCAGCGTGAGACAGGGCTCTTTTGGACTTCCAGAACTCCTGACGATCATCGACCTTCGGCGGCACCACAGAAACGGGTCCTCAGGGAACCAGGTCCTGGACCCGGGGCGCTCCCCGGGGGGCCGATATTCTTCGCCCTGCGCGGTCTTCTGACACTGCTTGGCACCCGTGGGTCGAGGGCCCAGGGAAACCGGAAACGACGAGAGACCTCGGGACCCGCGACTGGGGGTCGATGCATCTCTCCCCGAGCCCATCCTCCCCCCTGATCTTGCCCCTGATCCGCCCCGCCTCTCCTGCATGGAGGGAAGAAGAAGCGCCATAGACATGAACTTTCGGCGCTCCGCGCTGATTTCTCGGATCTGCGCTGGACCCCCCTCCCTGACGCGCGGAGCGCGCTTGGGGCGGCGCCGGAGGCGCCGCCAGGGGGGCCTATGCGCGGATCCAAGAAATCCGCACGGAGCGCCAAAAGTTTATGCTTGTGGCGGTGTTTCTTCTTCGACTGCAGCACCTCTTGCCTGGCGGACCGCGCTACCGATCGCCCCGCTCGCTTGTACGCGAGATCGCGTCGCGCCCCCGCTCGCGCCGACACGCGGACCGGGGGGCGAGCTACACGGTCCGCCGCCGACCCCCTCGCAGGAGCTGCCGCACGGCAGCCAACCAACCAGCCGAGCTGCCAAGCTGAAGCTGCTCCCCGAGCCTAGGGCCTGCCCCCTCTCGGACGCCTGGTTGTGTTGGGGGTCCTACCTCTAGGTCGGGCATGTCCCCCTACAGGCCGATGTTCGACGAAAAATACCAAAACAAATCTAGAAATATGCCAAAATGGTCACAAAGTGCTCGGAAAATCGCCCCCCTGTGATTTTTTAAACTATTTTTGGATACCCCTCCTGTAGAGGGACAGGCCCGACTCAGTCCTGCCTCGGCTTCCCGGTGACCGCTCGGGACGGCCCGCGAGAACCCCCGGAAAGGCTGCTGCCGAGGCGGAGCAGCCGCTGGGACGCACCCCCGAGGCCGCAAGGTCGCCGAGGACCGAGGAAGGCAACGCCGCACACTCGATCCCCCCCCTGACGTGGCCCCTGGTCACCCCCGCCCGCCGCGCGCCATCCCACACCACACGTGTTATAGGAGGCAACTACTGGAAGGTTTTCGCCGGAAGGATTATAAGGAGGACTCAGCCCCATTTGGAAGCTGTCACGCCGGAGTGGGCCTCGGACTGAGCAGGATAAAGCCGGATGAAGCGGGATGAAGCGGGACTAAGCCGGATTAAGCGGGATCATGCTGGATTTCGGACCAGGGCGAACACAGGATTTGACCTCCCATGAGTTGCATCCGAACACACGTGCGCGCCACCCCTCACCCCGCTTCCGGAGAAGTGCCGGAAGAGTTCCAAGCCAGCAGTCTCGCGCGGGAGGCCCTCACCACACCGGCCCCTATCGGCGACCCAGGCCTGTGGGCGATTGGTTGAGCATGGACAGACCGTCCTGGCATTCCTATATGCCTGCCACGGAGTGCTCTTAGAACCTCCAAACAAGTGCGGCGGACAAGCGCAGCGTTCTTAGAACATACGACCGATGTGTTAAAGCAAGACTCTCTCGGCCAGAAATGCTCCAAGAACAGTTCGTGCAGACCACACAAGGTTCTTAGAACATTCTTTGGTAGGCAAGCCAGGACGCTTCGCGACTGCTTGAATTTGGGACTGTTTTTCCCCCCTGAACCCATCCCCCCGGCGACGTGGAGAGACCACATGGTACCGATACCGCTACTGCCCCAGAACTCTCCTGGGGGTGCGTTCTGACCAGGAGCTTCGAGGCGAATCCAGCGCTGACGACGAGAGGGCCTCCCAGGAGGCCCAGAAAGGCGAAGACGAGGCGAGGGTAGCGGTAGCGGCACCTTTCCCTCCCCCCCCCCCCGACGTGCACCCTGACCCGCCCCGGCCCGCCCGAGAGGCTCTGGAAGCACCCTCGCATGGCGGGGCCCAGCGCCGCCGCGCCCGGCTCCTCCCCGCGCACGGCGAGGCACTGCCAGGCGCCGCCGGCGCCGTCCTCCTGGAAAGGGACGCCGCGGCCCGCTGCCGCCGATCGTCGGCCGCTCGGTCGGTCGAGGACCGGCCGATCGAGGGCCGGTCGAGGACGGATTGGTCGATGGAGTGGAGGCCCAGAGATCCGACGTCCCTGAAAAGTTGGAGGGGGCGTTCTGCTGCTGGCTTCGGCCTCCGAAGAAGGCGCTCGCCGGGCCTCGGGACCGTCAGCACGACGACTCAGGACGACAAACCGGCCCTGGGGAAGGGAGAGCATGCTACGCATGGAATGAATTGAGTAGAAGATGAGGTGTTGGATCCGTGAGTGGATCAGCCTAGACAGTATGATGGTCAGGAATCGAAAAGACAGTAGACGTCGTGGGGCCACGCATCGAAGAGACAGGAATTGCCCGATGTCCGGGGAGAGCCGGTCGAGAAGGACAACGTTGTCCCCAGACCCTTCTCATGACGCCGACCCCAGAAGTTCCGACCCGTTCCCCATGACCATTTTTTGAGACTGAATAGTTATTATAGTGCACAGCTATGTTCTAGAGCTCGGACCTCGTTGATTTCGTTCGTCGTCGTCGTTCGTTCGCTCGTCGTGCGTCTCCCCCCCCCCCGGCCACAGAAGGAAACTCCTGGAGCAAGGAGGCGAACGCCTCCTGTCCCTCGCAGCCCCATTGGCGCAAGAGCCAGGGCGCGCGGGCTCCCTGTTGGACGGCCCCGAGGCCCGGTACAGGGGCCCCCAGGGGCCGAACAATTGGGCAACACCTCCCGTCGTGACTCCTCCATGACTCGAGGGGCTCTGGGCCGCCGGTCCCCCCCAAAAAGGTGTCTTCCAGCCTCGCGGTGCCCGGTCGGGGACGGAGGTCTTCTTTACCTCCCAGGGGGCGCCGCGGCCCGCCGCCGCCGCCGATCGGTCCGATCGAGGGGATCGATCGAGGCAAGATCGGTTGATCTATCGTTCGGCCGGGCATGTCCTCCTACAGGCGGCTTTTGGGCGAACGCTGAAAAATAGTCAAGAGATATTCGAAGATTGAAAATGTAGTCGAAAAATCGTCGCCACATCATTCTTGGACCACTTTTGGATCGTCCACCTGTAGGTGGACAGGCCCGGCTTAGATCTATTATCTATTGATCAGCGGCGGGCCAGAACGTTCACTTCGGCCCATCGGTCGGAGCGCTCGCGACCTATCGACTATCGATGTTGACTACCTACCAGACCACCCCAACCCAACCCGAAGACCCGAATTTCGGGTTGGGGGGGGTACGGGTTCCATATGTGTTTTCTCGATGTTCCACGACCCCCCCCCCACTGGAAATCGAGGATAAATTGGGGCCTTCGGGTTGGGTTGGGGTGGTTTGGTGGGTGGTGATGTATCGCGTCGGGAGTCTTCGTGGGCTCTCTCGGCGGTTTCCTTCCAGCCTCGGGGGCATGCGCGCCCCAGAGCCTCGGGCCGTGCTCCCGCTCGGTTGCCGCCCTCGCCTCCTTTCCTTCCTCGTGCACGCCGGGCAGCTCGCCTTTTTCGGCTGCCCCGCTCAGCCTCGCGCTGGAGCGGACTGCCTCCGCCTCGCCGCCGACGGGAAAAGCGTTCCCGCTCGGTCGCGGCAACGGGTCGGTCGAGGACCGATCGAGGATGGCCCCGGCCGAGGACCGGCCGAGGACGGCTCGGTCGATGCGCTCACCGCGCTGCCATCGCAAGGAGCGCCGCCTTAGGAACGGAGGGGCTGTTCTGGCCACGGCGAGCCCAGCCACGCATACAGTGGGGGCCCGACCGCGAGAAACCTGCCACACGGAACCCAGCCCCGAGGCCCCAGGACGTCCATCGATCTTTGGCGTGGCAGCGCCACGCTTCCCATCGCTGAGTACCATCGGAGCCCGAGAAACCCAGGGCACCCTGGAGGTGAGCAGGGTGCTTCTCGGCATGGGTTCCCCACTGCAGCTTCCCCCCTGCAGCCTCCTCGACCTGCATGTGAGGAAGGGTCCAGACACCAGGGCCCCTCTCGAGGCCAAAAGGGTCCTCCTGGCAGCGCCTCGGCCGCACACTGATCGGCGGCGCGCCAGATCCCTCCGCTCGATCTGCCGAGCGGCGCCTCCGATCTCTCCGTCGGGGGGCGTTCGGGTGGGCTCTCGCGGCGGTCTTTTCCGGCCCCGGAGGTGCGCTCCCGCGGCCGCGCCCGCCCCGCCGCGCTGCGTCCGCCCGGGGGTGCCCGGCCCGTCCCGAGCGGCCGCCGGAGACACAAAAAAATACATACAAATAGAACAATCCCCCCTATATTTTGCAATATTTTCTGAGTTTTTGTCTTCCCCCCCACTTCCCATGTTTTTCCACATTTTCTGGGAATCAACGATTAATTGTATCCGTGTGTTTTTCCCCCTCCTGAACGGCCCGAAAGCCGCGGCGCGCCGAGGGGGGGGGGCCTTCTCAGGGAGGCGGCGGGGCCTCTCGGAAGCCCTCGGAAGCCTTCCCCGTGACGCCCTGCGCGGCTTCGGAGAAGGCAGGCCCAGGAAGCTCCCGAGAGGCACCGCCCCCTCTGCCTTATCCTTACCCCTGGGCGCGCCGCCGAATCGAGGATCTCGATCGATCGGTCCTCCATTGACCGATCGAGGATCGGTCGATCGAGGACCAGTCGATCGAGGCTCGGTCGAGGACGGATCGATGTACCGATCGGGGACCTCGAGCGGTCGGTCCTCGATCGGTCGATCGCGGAGGGGTCGATCGAGGGTCTGGCGACCGAACTGGGTCGATCGAGGTGTCCTAGGCGCTCCGAGGTCGACGACGGGGGAGAGAAGAGAGGCGAGGACGAGAGGAGGGGGGAGAGGGGAGGGCGAAGGGGGAGGAGAGGGGAGAGGGGAGGGCGAAGGGAGAGGCGAGGACGAGAGTGGGAGGGGAGGGGAGTACGTAAGGGTGAGATTTAAGACTATGTGGCGTGGGGTGTGGGGTGTGTCTTCTTGCGTGAGGTGTGTCTCCTTCCTTTCTCTCCTCTCCTCTCTCCTTCCTCAGTTCTCTCCTATCCTCTCTCCTCCCTCCTGCCTCCTCTCCTCTCCTCTCCTCTCCTCCCTCCGCTGTGTTCTTGTGTCGGGAAAGGATTCAATCGGTTTGAGTCAGATTCAATCACGTGGATCGAAAGTACCAACAGTTCTAAAAAAAACCAAAACAAACCAAAAAAAACAAAAAAAGACCTGACAGGTCTAAAACAACAAAAAATCAAATGATTTCAGAACTTATGCTGGCCCGTGGAGGGCCGCCCGATATTCTTCGCCAGAACCTTGATTTTTGGTTTTTTTAGATCTGTCAGGTTTTTTGTTTGGTTTTTTTTTCCCAACCATCCTGTGGTGTTGGGTCCTCGTTTTGAAGAGACGGTGCCCCGCGTTCCTCTCCTCCTTCCTCCTCCCCCTCCTCCCTCCTCCCCCTCCTCTTCTCTCTTCCGTCAGAATGATCATCTGCAGCATCATCCTCATCCACATCCTCATCCTCATCATCGTCTTCATCATCGTCCCCACCGCCCATGTCGTCACACCCCTCACACGTTTCGTGGCCCCATAGGGAGCTCCACCGAAGGTCCCACTGGGGGCGTTCGCATGCGTCTCCCCCACCCAGGACAGCGTTTCGTGGCCCCATAGGGAGCTCCACTGAAGGTCCCAATAAGGGGTGTTCGCATGCGTCTCCCCCACGCAGGACAGCGTTTCGTGGCCCCATACATAGGGAGCTCCACCGAAGGTCCCACTGGGGGTGTTCGCATGCGTCTCCCCCACCCAGGACAGCGCTTCGTGGCCCCATGGGGAGCTCCACCGAAGGTCCCAATAATTAGGGGTGTTCGCATGCGTCTCCCCCACCCAGGACAGCGTTTCGTGGCACCATAGGGAGCTCCACCGAAGGCTCCAGTGGGGGTGTTCGCATGCGTCTCCCCCACCCAGGACAGCGCTTCGTGGCCCCATGGGGGGCTCCACCTAGGACACAGGTTTGCCTGTCCCCCACCCAGCATCACCTAGGAAAGCGTTGCGAGGAGGAGGGGGAGGAGGAGGAGGAGGAGGAGGAGGAGGAGGAGGAGGAGGAGGAGGAGGAGGAGGAGGAGGAGGAGGAGGAGGAGGAGGAGGCGGAGGAGGAGGAGAAGGAGGAGGAGGAGGAAGAGGAGGAGGAGGAGGAGGAGTGTCCTTTGGGCACATCTCACAGGCTTCGTTGCCTCATTGGGAGCTTCACCTGAGGTCCCAGTGGCGGAACTCGCATGGCGGCCAAGTGGCGGAGGCCGCGTGGTGGCGACCTCGTCTTTGTCTTCGGCGTATGGAGGACGCTTCCGGGCCCCGGGGCCATCAGAAATCGTTCCGGGGGAGAGGGGGGAGGAGGAGGAGGAGGGGGAGGAGGAGGGGGGGGAGGAGGGGGAGGAGGAGGAGGAGGAGGAGGAGGAGGAGGAGGAGGAGGAGGAGCAGGAGGAGGAGGAGGCGGAGGGGGAGGAGGAGAGGGGGGGGAGGAGGTGGGGGCCGATAACGGCAGGGCAGACCTGGCGAAGGACCCAACCATATGCAATTGTGAGTAACGCGTTGTGGGTGCCGCTTTCGGTGGGCCCCGAAACGCGCGAGGGGCGTGCCTCGACTCGTCCTACTCGGCGGCGCGGAACTGGACGCAGAGGCTGGCCGCCGAGCCGCGCATCCCGAAGCCGGACGGCTTCCAGTTCGTGAGCGCGGAGTCGAACGTGGAGACGCACTACCTCATGAAGTCTGTGCTGCTGCGACCGGTGCACCTGCCGGACGCCGACGGGCCCAACGACACGAAGGAGCTGCGCTACCTCCGCGCGTACGAGCACCTGTGCGCGGCGCCGGAGGGCGAGCCGGAGTGGCCGGCGCAGCCGGCGGGGGAGGGCGTCTCGGGCCCTTCCAGCGCGGCTGGGAGTCGTTCGCCACCACCCAGGAGCAGCTGGCGAAGACGGCGCGGGCGAAGTGCCTCAAGAATGACGTGGGGTCGTGGGCAACTCCCCGCATCTGGAACACGCAGGAGGTCGAGGCCGCGCTGCGCGAGAAGCGCAGCGACC